GGCGGTATTCGTCCTCATCGAGCATTATTAGTAAACAGATATATACAAGAGCAAAACCTTAATCGTACTGAATTGCCTCCTAGATCTCCAGACTTAAATCCTATTGAGCACGTCTGGAGCTGAATGAAGTTGAAGTTTTCCCGAAGGGAACGTCAGCCAGAAACTCTAGACGATCTGATGATTTTAGAACTCTGGGAGGCAGTTCCTATGGAGCTAACTAATAACTTAATTTCGAGCATGCCAAGGCGGTGTCAGGCAGTTATTCAGGTTAGAGGAGGTCCAACGCCTTACTAATTAATAATTAACAAATATTTATTAAGGTTAGGTTAGGTTTATTTTAATATTCTAATGAATTCCATGTACACACTTTATAAAATAAAAACCAATAAAAAATACTGGTTTTTTTTTAATTACTGAACCCTTTTTGTACGCCTCTGAATAAGTAAAAATCAAACTCATTACAGTTATGACACCTTTTAAACTGTAACGCTTACCAAAAGTGTTAAAAATTTCAAATAAAATCAAGTTTTCGTTTTTTAAATTTCATAAACCCCTTTTTGCACGCCGCTGGTGTTGACCATTTTCTTCACACGTTATTCCTTGATGCAGTTTAGTCAGTATCTGTTATTCTTTAATTAAAAAAAGGCTAATTCTAAAAGAAATATGGAATTTCATAAAATGGCGATATTTCCATAGCAACGCAAATTATCAAAAAAATGACAAAGATATCCCGAGGTGTCGACCTAGTGATCCACTCAACATCAGAAAGAACTTGATTTGGCCCCCCACATTTTCCAAATTCTTTGCCAAAAAACGGACATTTTTCGTTGCCTTACATTCACACCCTGTACAACAAGAAGCTATTAAAAAAAATATATTCAATGTCACTGACGCAAACAGCAAGGATGGCGCTTTCCACCTCTGGCTGAAAATCTAACATCGGCAAAGAAATGTCGAAGTTACAGCTAGTCAAAATTAGGCAATTTTTTGGCTGTCCCACTTTATCTGCGGCGTAGTTTAGATCAATAGGATTGAATTCAAATGATAAAGGGAAGGCTTAGTAACATGCTATTTTTTTAAAAAAATTATTTATTCTCACTAAAACTCCACTTGCTCGATTTTGACATATAACCTAAAACTGAGCGGACACTTTTAGTATCGTCATAGCACCTCTTTATTTTACATCAACGAATATAAAGTTCGTATGCACCGCCCTACTTTGTGACGTCACTCTGTGCGTTGCGCAAATAAAGCTGATTTAAGTGATTTTGTGTTTGTTTCACTACGTTTCAAGGGTCTGTTTAACGTGTGATATCTCTTTTTAGCTAAAGACTTTCGAGAACAAATCTCACTCCTTCGGGCTCACTTATAAAAGAGCGCCACGGAAACGCGATTAGCCAGAGGGCAATGGCGTACCAAAAAATAGATAATAACACTAACTTTTAAAATAAAGTAAAATTTTTTTAAAAAAAATTCTCTGTAAACACTTTAAATACCAAATCTTTCATTTTCTCCTACTACATAGTGTGTACACACAACCCCTTTAAAATAATATATTTAGGATAGTAGCATTGCTCACTGTTCCCAATTGTTCGTAACTAAAATATGATGTACTAGATGTCTTTTCCTCTTCTCTTACGGTTTTTTGACGTGTAAGATTTATTTAACTTTTACTTGAATTGTATCTACATTATCTAAAATTCTTTTTAGAGTCCTGATGATGCCTTAATCAGTGAAAGCGCTTCACTAACTTTTAAAATATAGTGAAATTGTTTTAAAAAATTTCTCCTATAGACACTTTAAGTACAAAATCTTTATTTTGTCCTACTACTCAGTGGGTACACACTTACAACCCCTTTAAAGTAATATATTTAGGGTTTTTACTTTTATTTTGTTGTTAATTAAAATTATTTTCTTAAAATAATGTTTGTTATTTATTTCAGGTATTTTATTCTGTAAATGGAATAATCTGTTGGACAATAAAACTATTTTTATTCATTTTTTTATTTATTTATTTTTTATTCTTTGATAAAAACCTATTAACATTATTTATTGTATTAAAAATAAGTGTTTAATTCTTATGGACAGGAGAAAAATGTAATTAAAATGTTTTTTTTTTTAATACTGATTAGATTAGCAATTAAAATATTCAATAGTTTGCTTCACTTATATTTGTTGAACTCTTTGACAACTAAGCAAGTTACAGTTGTTGAATAAATATCTCGAGTTTTGATTAGAACATATATTAAAAAGCGTGAATTTCAATCAAGCATTAAAGATAATCAGTGGCGAAGCGTCCATGTAACCACTGTTACCATTGGTAACAGTTAAAAATCTTGAAAATAGTTTATGACTAGGTACTGTAAAATAATTTTATTTTTTTTTTACCAACAGCAATATCATAGTAATTCAGTAAATAGATTAGCTCCACGAAAATAATACGCTCTATACTGTCCGGGTTATGCGTTTGTAGTTTCTAACACAATGAATCAGCCTTCGCCTCGACCTCGACTGCATGATGTTACCACTTTCGTTTCTGGATACGCATACTCGTCCGTCGGCTACTGTCGGAGCCGGCTCGTATCTGGACGCGTACTTGCATTCTACAGCGCGAAAGCGTGGGCCGCCGCGATTATTATGTACGCTTGTTACCATTTTTTGTTTTGGTTACTCAGTATTTAAAGGGGTGGTCTGTGCTCAGTAGTACTCACTCGTTAGTAGTTGCTTTTAAACATGGATGAGTGCCGCTGTGTAATCGATCAACTACTTGAAAAGCCATTCTCCTTGTATCATTTTGCAGAAAAAAAGGAGATCATTGAAAATGGAAGACCAACACCTATTTTAAATAATTTTAAAAAAGAATCAAAAAAAGTAGTTCGATATTTTAAATTTAGTTGGTATAGTGAAAATTCTTGGTTATGTGGTTGCATGAAAAATAGACTGTATTGTTGGCCGTGTCTTTTGTTTTCTACAGAAAAAAATGGGTGGACTAGCAGCGGAGTCAACGATTTAAATAGTTTTAGAGTTCTAAAGAGGAGACATGAAATTTCTCCGTTACATGTGAGATGTGTAGCCAATTTGATCCAGTTTGGCAAAACAAGAATAGAAAGTTGTCTTAACCAAGATATTAAGGCAAATATTGCTAAATATAATGAAATTGTTAAAAACAATAGATATATCGTTAGCACACTTATAGATGCCGTATGTTATTTGGCCAAACAAGAATTACCGTTTCGGGGTCATTTTGAAGGGGATGACTCTGACAATAGGGGCAATTACAGGGAATTGTTAACATTAATTGCCAAAAAAGATCAAAAATTTTGCCAACATCTAGAAACGTCAACTGTTTTTTCCGGAGTTTCAAGTGACATACAAAACGATATTATTGAAGCCATATCTACATTTGTGATGGATGAAATTAAATCAGAAATTGCCGGAGCAAGTTTTGTAGCTGTTATATTGGATGAAAGCACCGATGTTTCAAACTAATCGCAACTTTCGGTCGTATTTAGATATGTTTGCCCCGACGGTGATGTTTGTGAAAGATTTTTGAAATTTGTCAATGTTAGTGATGAGCGTTCAGCGGGACCGTTATCGGAAATTTTGTTCAGTGTGTTAAATGAGTTTAAGTGCGGAAATAAACTAATTGCGCAGACTTACGATGGTGCGGCAGTAATGAGCGGGCAACACAACGGCCTACAAAAACTGGTTAGAGATAAATATCAAGATGCAATTTTTGTTCATTGTTATGCCCATAGACTCAATTTGGTTTTACAGCAATCAGTGGAACATATTAGAGAGTGCAAAATTTTTTTTCAAACTTTATCAGGGCTTGCTGCATTTTTTTCAAAATCGTCCAAAAGGGCCGCTGCTTTGGATAAATTAGTACAAAAACGTTTACCCAAAGTAGCATCAACCAGGTGGATTTATACTGGTAGACTCGTTGAGGTTGTTTCTTGTATTCGTTCAGAGCTTCTCGAACTATTTAAAGAGATGCATACTGACACAGCAACATGGGATGGAGAGACACGAATTTGTTCGAAAGGCTTTTACATTACATTGCAAGAATTTGATTTTAATTTCTTTTTAAACTTATTTGAGATTATTCTACCAAAATCAGAAATTTTGTTTGATATTTTACAGAAGAAAATGTATGACATTGGATTTTGCACGAGAAAAGTTAATGAATTTCTAGAATTTTTGCAATTAGAGCGGAAAAATTTTGAAAGTCTGTGGTTAAAACAAGAGAAATTTGTAAATGACGATGTATCCAAACCCAATAAGAGGCAACGAATTACAAATATTAACAATGATAAAGAGACGTCTTATCGGCGACTTTTTTTTGAAATTTTTGACACCATGATTATTCAACTTAAAAACAGATTTTCTGACTTAAAGCATCTAGAATGTCTGGCACTATATGATTTTGACAATTTCAAAAATTATGCAAAAAAATTTCCAGATAGCGCCTTTCATCAACTTTTAAAGCTATATGGACAAAAATTTGACACGGTAAAGTTAAAAACAGAATTGACAGTTCTTTATAATGATCCAGATTATGTTCAAAAAAATTTGCAAGCATTTTATCAATATTTAAAATCTTCAGAGCTTGATAGTGCATTTCCGGAAGCTTTTAAATTGGCAAATTTATTTTTAACAATTCCAGCTACAAGCGCCTCTGTTGAAAGAAGTTTTTCAGCAATGAAGCGGATTAAGACATGCCAAAGAAATACTCAATTGCAAGATCGAATGTCATCACTTTCTTTAATTTCCATTGAGAAACGCTTTTTAAATGGATTAATGGCAAAACCCTCTTTCTACGATTCTGTTATTAACATTTTTGCAAATAAAGAAAATCGCCGAATCGACTTAAAATATAAACAATAGTTTTCAAAATATGTTTTTCCCGTTTGTATTATTTTTGTAGTAGAATAGTATGTTTGGTTTTTTTTTTATTGTTTGTTTGTTGTTCTATATATTATTATATATATATATTGTTTGGGAGTAGTCATTTGTTTTATTTTATCCCACACGCTTGGATTAGTCATAGCATAAGACGATGAGCTATATAAAGTGCCCCAATCCAGCAATTTTTACTTTAAATAATTTAAAAAAGTAAATAAAATACTTAAAATAAGCAAAAACTTATATATGGTAGGTTCAAAATAAACTATTTAAATAAGATTTTTCACATCTGGTTTTGGTAACACTTTAGAAAAAGTCACGCGTCGCCACTGAAGATAATAACATTTCATAATTGATTTAAGAAAAGGCCTGTAGCATGGTCACAAACGAATAAGTTGCTTTGATTACCTAAAAAATAAAAATTTATGTAATATTTACTTATTTGAACATATTTTTTTCTACGATCACTATCCAAAGTAGACGCTTTCAACTCTGAACATAAAGTTATTATTTTATCCCAATGAAGGGTCTAAGCTCAACTGTTACGATGTCACTAGACCTATAATATAGTAAATTAATTTTTTGGTCAAGACGAATGTATGTGATTCTGTTCATTATAGTCTCAAGCAAGCCATTTTTGACAAGTCCGGTCATGCTCTAATCCCTTAAGTCCTTCTCTGCTTTATTTGGTCCTATTACGGCCTTTTACCATTAGAATGAATATTTAATGGAGAAGTCACCTCTGAAGCCTCTCTTGATACGCCAATGAACACTTCCAGTCGAAGTTCTGGATTGTTCTGGAATGATGACGAATTTCCTAACGGTCAATTCTTTCGAGAGAAGTCTAGAATATTCTAGAATGACCACATTTGTATGTAAAAAGACTGCCTGCTTGCTAAGTTGAGTTCAAGTAGAAATATCGCTGTGAGCAGATTAATATTGTTAATATAAATAGTATACATATACAGGGATTTCATTTCAAAACTAGCCACCCAAAATAACTTTAAACTTTAAAACAAAAAAACAAAAAACACGTTAATTTATATTTACGGGGGCACACATTTTACAAGTATCTGTAACCGTGCAGTTTCATCCCCTAAGCGGTGGTGAATATCACTTCTAAAATTTTAAATTGAAAGGGGTATCATGTGATAGCTCTTCTTAAAGGTCTCTTTTTCCAATCTTTTGACACATTATTTTTTTAAATCGGATTAATTTTTCACCAAGTTATAACCTAGAAACCGGAAAAAATGAAAAATATTGAATTAAAATGCATGAGTATAAATACCGAGATAAACAAGTTAGCAAAAAGCCTTAAATGTTTTTTGCGTAAGATATTTTTGACCGTAAATTAAAACAATTTATTATTAGTAGATTATTGGTTTCGTTGTGTACTGACAATTTAATTTTGACAATGGTTTAATCTTTACAAGAAAAAATTGAAATAATCTTTATTTATGGTGAAGAACAACGCTGTGCACGCAGCACTGCTCGTGTTTTTAATCAGAGACATCCCGATAAAAATGCAACATCAGTATGTGTTGGATTTAGTTAATAAATTTCAAGAAACTGGAAGTGTGTGCAATAAAACTGTAATAAATCGTAGAGTTTTAACTGAAGCTGCACAAGTTGAGATTTTAGGTCATTTTGCCATGGAACCTCAAACATCAATACCAAAAGTCTCCAGATTAACAAATATTTCCGTTGGCTTTGTGCATAAAACGTTACGGCTAAATAAATTATTTCCTTACAAAATACAGCTTTTACAACAGCTTGCTGAGGATGATTATGACAGAAGATTAGAATTTTGCGAATTAATGACTCAAATGGCAAATGAAGACCATAATTTTATTAAAAATATTTGTTTTACTGACGAGGCAGGTTTCTTTTTAAATGGATTTGTCAATAAACATAATTGTAGGTACTGGGACAATACAAATCCACATGTTTTTCGGGAAAAGCACAGCCAATATCCTCAGAAAATCAACGTATGGGCCGGATTTCTTGGTAATAAAATTATTGGTCCTATTTTCATGGAGGAAAATTTAACTGGGGAATTGTATTTGAACTTATTAGAAAACCTGATAAATCCTCTTATAACCGAATCCTTAGAAAACCAAATAGATCAAGATGGAAATTTGTTACTAGACGAAGAAAACCTATTTTTTCAACAGGACGGAGCACCTCAACATTATGCCTTGCCTGTACGAAATTGGCTTAATGAGACATTTCCAGATAAATGGATCGGAAGAAGGGGCGCTATAGAATGGCCAGCGAGATCACCCGACCTAACGCCCCTTGACTTTTTTTTATAGGGACATCTAAAAACTGTGGTGTATAAAACTCAACCTCGCGATATTCCTGAACTTAGACGTAGAATAGTGGAGGAGTGTGAGCGGATTACACCAGAGACGCTTCAAAAAATGCGGGATGAATTCGAGCTGCGACTTTACCATTGCCTTGCCAACAATGGCGGACATTTTGAACATCTTATTTAAGTACAATGTAATTCTTACGCAAATAAAATATTAATAATGTAAATACAGTGTAAATAATAATAATAATTTTAATTTAAAAGGTCAAAATGGCATAACTTGGTGAAAAATTAATCCGATTTATAAAAATAATGTGTCAAAAGATTGGAAAAAAAGAGACCTTTAAGAAGAGCTATCACATGATACTCCTTTCTATTTAAAATTTTAGAAGTGATATTCACCACCGCTTAGAGGATGAAACTGCACGGTTACAGATACTTGTAAAATGTGTCCCCCCCGTAAATATAAATTAACGTGTTTTTTGTTTTAAAGATATTTTAAAAGTTATTTTGGGTGGCTAGTTTTGAAATGAAATCCCTGTATAAGTAAATGTGATATTAATTATTAATAAATTGAATTATAAAATAAATTAGTATCATAGTGTAAATAAATTACAATATTTGAATGATCTATTATCTAAATAACACCAACAAAATTTAAGGGGTAATTCTGTAATAAAAATTAAAGTGCGCATTTTCAAAAAAATGAGCCATCGCGAGGGTATTTTGCCTTAAGGTCTAACGGTGTGTGCTTTACAATGACATCCATAAAAACTATAATACGGATTGTGCAGTGCATTTTCTGTTAACTTTATTATTGTTTCACAAGTTTTATGATTGTGTATTGTAGAAAATATTATTTGATTAAAAATATGAATGCATATTCGAATTTATAAATGACAGATATGCATTTTACATAGGATTGTGCTAACGGTAACGCATTGAAAGTATTATTTTTATTTATTTTTAATTATTTTCATTTTTTAATTTTTATTTATTTTTTTATATTTTTTTATATTTTTTATCATTTTTATTTATTTTTATATATTTTTATTTTTTATTTTCTTTTACCTTTATCTTTTTTTTATTTTTAATTAATTTTATTTTTATATTTTTTTATTAATTTACCCATTTTTAATTTTTAAATTTTTTATTTTCTTCATTTATATGTCAGGTAAGCCATTATAAGTTTACTTCAACATTTATTTTACCGTATAAAGTCGTATAATATATTGAAAAATTATAAATCAAAATTGTTCTAATAAAAAAAAATACAAATATAAAAAATAATTCTTCTAAACAGAAAGTTTATATTTTTTTGAGTAAATAATAAAAAGAAACTACAAAATCATTGAATTTTCACCTTGCTATGATTTTTTAAAGTCATATATATCTTCTCTTAACTTCTAACCACCCTTACTCTGTTATTTTTAATAATAGCAAAAAATGCCAAATATCATTTTTATGTAAAACTTTATGCTTTACAATTTTTATTAAGAGCTTTTTTTATAGCACCAACCTTTTTTGAATAACCTTAAGAAAAAGCTCAATTTTCTTGTTTTTCGCCATTTACCGGGGCCTGAAGAACAATTTTTTTTACACATCGTTTTCAAATACTTTAAAATGACATATCAAAAATTCCTGTATTTTCTCCAAAATTTTGATTTAAAGGTCTATTTGATTAGACTAATAGTTATTCACATATTTTTATATATTTATTAGTATGTAAGGAAGCTAATTACAGTTATTTTTCATGGATGTTTGAAAAATCTATTTCATAAAAATATTTTTATATTTATTTCATTTGTACCCTTTTCCAAACTTATTCAGAATAAAACATTAAAAATAAAAATCTGATACTTTATTTATTAAACAAAATATAGTTTAACATATTATTTAATATACATATGTCTGTAAAAGGTCTTTACAAAAACATACCACATATTCCTTAGACCAAAATAAGTCGATTTAAGTAAAATTACCTAAGTACAAAGTTGCTTCGTTTGGGCTCCAGAGGGCCTTGAAGTTACAATTTTTAAATCGTTCTTCCCATATAAATTTAAAACGGCATATGCGATTTTGCTGAAATTTGGTATATTGGTAGAGTTTTATGTGGCAAAAAAAATGGTATTAAAATTTTGTCCGATAATAATACAAAAGCGTAGAACTTTCATACTCTTCATTTAGTCTGTATTTATCGTCCCGGAGACGCTCAACTAGCTGAAGATACAATCCTTATTGAAAAACTTGAATATCTGTCTTCACTAGAAAATGTCATTATTATTGGTGATTTCAATTTCCGAGATATTTCGTGGCCAGTTACTCTCACTCCAAGTGATGTTGTAAATTCAAAAAATAAATTTTTGAACTTTGTTCTAAGCTCTAATTTACAACAACTTATAACAGATCCAACACGATTCCGAGTCAACAATATTCCTTCCACGCTAGATTTGTTATTTGTAAATGATAAACAATTATTAACTGACCCTATCATTCAATCTCCGATAGGAATATCGGATCATGCAGTTATCATAAGTCGTATACAGTTTAACATAGAGAACCCATCTCACAAAGATCATACTTCATCTTATGAAATCATCGATTTCGATAACTTAAATCGTCATTTATCTACCATCGACTGGATAGAAACATTGGGGGACTCGGGAGATCCGGAAGAAGTATGGAATAAGTTCGCAATTTTTATTGCTACTCATAAAATGCAATACTCTAAAAAGAAGGTGTTTTATAAAAATAAATTAAAACCGTGGATCAACGGAGAACTAATATCCTTGATTAGACATAAAAGTAAATTATGGCGTAAATATAAGCGGTCAAATAGTATTGTCGATCTAGAATATCACAAAAATTTTTCCAAGGACCTAAAGAAATTTATAAATGAGGCCCGAGAAGAATATGAAGAGTCAATAGCATGCAGCCAAAACTGTAAAAAATTATACAAATATATTAGATCTTCACTGTCATTAAAAGTATCCATTCCTTTACTAAACAAAGAAGATGGAAGTCCCTGCCAAAATAATTTCGAAACGGCTGAACTTTTAGCTAATACCTTCACAAAAGTTTTCACTAATGAACCTCCCCAGGATCAGTTACCAGATATCTCACCCGAAAGAATCCATTCTTCCTTAGAACGGCTCAATTTTACTCCTGAAATTGTCAAACGTCACCTTTTAAAATTAAAAAACAATTCCTCTCCAGGTCTAGATCAAATATCTTCTCTATTTTTAAAACAATGCTCTAATACCATATCAGTTCCTTTATCTATTATAATGTCTTTGTCTTTTAATACACACACATTACCCTCTATCTGGAAAACAGCTTCTGTAACACCCATTTTCAAGAAAGGAAACAAACTAGACTCTAATAACTACCGCCCAATCAGCCTCACACCCATAATCTGTAAAGTTATGGAATCCATAATAACAGAGCACGTTTCTCAGTTTCTCTTAGCGGAAGAAATCATTCCCAAACAGCAACATGGATTTGTAAAAGGGCGATCAACCATGACCAATTTGCTTTGGTGTGTAAATGAGTGGACAGTTTCATTAGACAGGAAAAAACCTATAGACATTATTTACCTGGATTTTGCGAAAGCTTTTGATCGTGTGCCGAAACGAAGATTACTACATAAGTTAGAACACCTTGGTATACGTGGTGATTTACTTAAATGGATCGAGTCATTCTTAACTGATAGAAAGTACTGTGTTAAAGTTGGAAATTCGCATTCACTTGAAAGACCAGTCTTGAGTGGGGTTCCTCAGGGATCAGTTCTGGGTCCACTCTTATTTATAATATATGCCAGTGACCTTCAATTCCATATCAAGTGCAACAATATTTTTTACGCAGATGACACTAAAATATTTAGTGACCCGTCTCTGAACTTCCAACAGCTTCAAGATGACCTTGACTCCATCTATAACTGGTGCTCAGATTGGATGCTACCTCTAAATACAAATAAAAGTGTAGTTCTCCATATTGGTAAAAATAATCCTCGTCATAATTATTTTCTAAACGGTCATACGTTAAATAAAGTTAAATCTTACAATGATCTAGGTGTTATAATTACTGAAAATCTCAGCTGGTCTGAGCACGTTCTTCAAGTGTCAAAAAAGGCGAACACGAAAATGTACTTATTAAAGAAAACATTCGCAAAAGTGTCTTTTCAAAATTCTATCCGGCTGTATAAATTATACATTCGTCCGATTATCGAGTACTGCGGAGCTGTGTGGTGTCCGGAACTAGTGCGGGATAAAAATATTCTTGAAAATGTTCAGCGCCGATCAACCAGACTATTTTTCGGACGTATGAGACCTAATTACGCAGAGAGACTACATATGGCTGAACTACAAACGTTTGAAAATCGCCGTCTGCGGGGTGACATGATAATTTGTTTTCGTATTTTAAAATATAATTTTGGAAATTTAAAATGTATGTTCATCGTGAACAGTGAAAATCGACTACGTGGCCATAAATGGAAGCTGAAAAAAGAACAATTTTTTACGAAAACGAGGCAAAATTTTTTATTTAATCGAATATTCCACACTTGGAATTCTCTACCGGAGAATGTTGTAAATGCTCCATCTGTCAATGTTTTTAAGAACGAACTTGATAATTTTCTATTTTTTAATTAACATTTCATTTGTTTCATTGTTTATTCATCGGTTGTAGCTGTTATTGATTTAGTTTTTAGTAATATTGTTTTATATTCAGTTAATATGGGCTTATGGGTCTTATGGCCCCTGCTCTTATCAAATTATAATAATAATAATAACTTGATTTTTTTAATAATTGCACCTTTAAAAATTCTACGCCAACGGAAGAAAAGGAGTTTGAGTATAAAATTTAGATTGCGCAACTCATTTACTTTAAAAAAGGTACTCTTGATAAGACTCAATTACTCTCATGGTTTTGACGAAATTTGCATTTTAGTAATTTTAGAACACAAACAATAATTATTAAAATACAAACTTTGTCAAAACCATGAGAGTAAATCGAGTGTTATCAAGGGTACTTTTTTGTAGTAAATGAGTACCCAATCCAAATTTCATACTCAAACCCCTTTTTTGCCATTGGCGTAGAATTTTTAAAGGTGCAATTATTTAAAAAATCAAGTTCTACGCCTATGTATTATTATCGAACAAAATTTTATACGATGAAAAACATAAAAATGTACTTTTTTCATATCTTCTTCAACACCTCTAATCGAGACTTTTAACAAAAATACTCGATTCTTGCCATGTACGATTTTTTGAGGAATATTAATTATTTGCCGTATACAAAAACATTTATTGTTGGTTTCCATAGTTTCATCTAAATAAAAATATTGTCAAGTTTTAACACCTAATCTCTTGTTAACGATTGAAAGTGTTCTATCTAACTCAATAACTAAAAAAACAAATGCGTGGTTTATTAATATGGCTGTACAATATACCAATGCAGAATATACAGATATGTTACTGACATTAGGATTTTGTGAAGGAAATGCTCGAGAGAGTGTCAGGGTGTACTCTGAAAGGTTTCCAAATCGTCGTGTACCTAGCCACCCAACTTTTACTGCTGTTGAGAGACGTCTTCGGGAGACCGGTTCCTTTGCTCCCAACACTGTTGATAATTGAAGAACGTTTTGTAAGGATTCCTGAAGTTGAAGAAGACATTTTAGAACGTCTTGAAGAAGATCCAGAATTAAGCACCAGACAAATTGGAAGGGAACTAGGAGTAAGTAAAGATGTCGTTCATAAAGTGCTTGGAGAACAATTGCTATATCCTTACCATAAGAAGCCAGTACAAGAATTATTAGTCCATGATCCTCAAATTCGTTTGGGTTTTTGTCGATTTGTTAATATGCAAAGAGAAAGAGATCCAAACTTTGTCAAGAAGGTTCTCTTTACCGATGAAGCGGGTTTTAGAAGAAGAGGTATAACTAATACCCATAATGAACATGTTTATGCCGTTGAAAATCCGCATGCAATAAAGGTAAACCATTTTCAGCACTAATTCAAAATTAATGTGTGGGCTGGAATAATTGGTAATTTCATTGTTGGTCCTCTCATACTTCCACGAAGATTAACTGGAGAAAATTATTTGGATTTTCTACAAAATACGTTGCCAGAATTGTTAGAAGATTTACCTCTCCAACTTCGGAGAGATATGTGGTTTATGCAAGAAGGAGCTCCACCTCATTTTTCTTTAAACGTTAGAAACCACTTGAATGAACAATATACACACAAATGGATAGGCAGAGGTAATGACACACCTGTAAACTGGCCACCACGTTCCCCAGACCTAACACCGACAGATTACTTTTTATGGGGACATCTGAAATTCACAGTTTACAGGGAACCTGTAGAAAATGAGGAACAACTCTGGCAACGTATTCAAGATGCAATAAACAATCTTAGAGGTGATGAAGAAGTTATAGAAAGGATACATTTTAATTTTCTTCGACGTATAAATCTTTGTATGCGTGAAAATGGTGAACATTTTGAACAATTTTTGTAAAATCTCTATTTTGATTATGTTGTAAATAAATATTTTTGTAAAACCTATACACTCTAAATTATTAAAACAGAAATTTAGCGGAAACCATGAGAGTAATCGAGTCTTATCAAGAGTACCTTTTTTAAAGTAAATAAGTTGGGCAATCTAAATTTCATACTCAAACTCCTTTTCTTCAATTGGCGTAGAATTTTTAAATGTGCAATTATTTAAAAAATCAAGTTCTACGCCTATGTATTATTATCGGACAAAATTTTAATACCATTTTTTTGCCACATAAAACTCTACCTATATACCAGTAAACCAGTAAAATCGCATATGCCGTTTTAAATTTATATGGGAAAACGATTTAAAAATTGTAACTTCAAGGTCCTCTGGATCCCAAACGAAGCAACTTTGTACTAAGGTAATCTTACTTAAATCGACTTATTTTTGTCTAAGGAATATGTGGTATGTTTTTGTAAAGACCTTTTACAGACATTAAGTAACTTTAGCAAAGAATTTTTATAAAAAAATATTAGAAGTCAAATATACTGTAAAATATTTTTGATTTCTACACAATCTAGGCTTGTAAAATATTGTAAAGCACAAAATACCATTATGTTCTTAAGGTCTTTTAAGTAACACTACATGAAAATAAAAGGAACTCAATAAATACCGAAAAATAAAACTCTTACCACAATACAAAATAATTGTCACAAATGACATTAGGATGGCGCAGATGACAGCGCTTACGTACACAAGTAGCGACTCCTTTCCTTACTACCTTCATGAATTTTACAAACTAAATTAGTTTCACTAAAATTGTATTAAACAAGGATCGTAGAAAAAAATATTGTGCGTATAGTTATACTAATATGCAAAAAAAAAATAAAATTACGCATAAAAATGCTATAAGAAAAGTAGCAAATTAAAAAAACATTCGGAAAGTCTTATTGAAGTACCCTATACAAATAATTGTAGCGCTGTCAGCTAGCTTTTAATACACAATATTTTACTTACCGCTAAAAAAATTCTCATAGACATTTTATCAAACGGTCCAATAAATAGTGCGATTTCTTTGCTACATCTCATTATAATAATGCTAAATATTTTTTTTATTTCCTTCGTTTGTTCATACCAGTTACTTTCAAACAAAGCTTGTGCAATATCGGATGCCTATAAAAAAAAATCAGTAAAACAGCCATTGCTTACCTGACATAATTCCTAATATTAGCAATGACCAACAACGTCGTTTAAATGGAGTCTTAGATACATATTAGGTAAAAAAGTTAGAAACAAATCAATTTCTAGAAAGAGCTCTTCGTTCATATTGGATACTAAAAAGTTTTTAATGTCTGATTCAAAAAAATTAGCCGCGAAACAAAAAGAAAAATGTTTACAGAATTAAATATAACCAGTGACGTTAATGTACAAATTAAAAAACTCACAGTGAATGTTACGTTGTAATCGTCACTCCCTTTTAATAATTACAATATTTAATTAGTTCAAATATTCCAATATATTCTAATACTTTTTGAGTGCCCCTCGTATTTGGAAATATGGATATTATATTAATTCGGAGAAACTGTCTGTCTAAAAATCAATAATTACTGTCAGAGGTTGTGCGCACACCTGGCTACCTGTTGATGTAGAATACTCACGTTTCACATTCGGTCGTTTTCTGACTTCTTTTCAATTTTGCAGCCAAACCGGTTGGTTTAGTTTAGTGCTTTGTTAAGTGTTTCCGAACTAACTAAGGTAACAGAATCATTTTTTTTATATAATGAATGGTAGAAATTAATTTTATTATGTGTGTATATCCTGGTGAAATTATCTTTGAGTTATTTCATTCATTAATAGCGAGATTTCCGCGTAATATAAGTTCCATGCAATGTACAAAATGGCTGCCATTAATTTTATATTTTTTTCACTTATTTAAAAAAAATATTTCCATTCTTCATGTATTTTAATTTAAATACTATTGCAAATCTCTATTATTGTTGTAAACTTGAAATGTTCAATTTAAAAATGTTTAATTTAAATAGTAAGCTTTTATGGTTGACTCGTAGGCTGACCACATGTTTTTTTTTGTTGAAGCAATGGAAAGATACGGTTTCTTTTGTTGTAACTGACACGTTTTTTCTTTCTTAAAATTAAGGAACTGGCCCAGTAAGGAACGCCCTGATAACTAAGAACTCGTAGTATAAAGAAAGTCATCGTAGGCTGAGCTACATCTAGAACTGCAGAATATGGCTAGAAAGTCATCGTAGGCTGAGCTATATCTAGAACTGCAGAATATGTCTAGAAAGTCATCGTAGGCTGAGCTACAGTTAAGAGAGCGAGACGGACCAGTTCGACCGTTGAAATCCGGAAACACACAAGATAAGTGTCGGCCAGGACCACACACAATTTTTGAGTCAAAATTCATACTAGCCAATTTTAATTTAAAAAAAAATACTCATTATCTAGTCAAATAACGTAAACCGTAAAATTTGTTAAAATCAATAAATTTCATTTTTCTTTCTTATTGTTAAATATCACTCATTAATTAATTTATTTTAAATTAAAGCCGATTAATTGTTTTAAAATTTAAGTTCTTTTATTTTCCTTACTTTCAACTGACAAGTTAATAGCAAATTTACTTTTATTGTAGATCTAAAGGTATGGCGCCCAAATTAATTTAATTGAATTCTTTTAAGTCTTTTTAATTAAAGACCTTGTCATTGACTTGAAGGTAAATTCTAAACGAATCCCACTGACCCATTTTGATCTGAGCTAGGTCTGAGGCTTGTAAGAATTCTTATTATAAGGATTTTTACAATGAGACCCAGGTAAGGGTTAAAAAGTTAACGTATCATCTGGTGCCTAACGTTAAAATTGAACATAGCAAAATATGTTTTTAAAACATAACATTGTAACGTACCATGAATCTAATTAAATGTTTGAATAATCGTTTATGATTTAATATTTTTTTTAATATACAGGATGAATGCTGAGTTGATACTGTGTTTAGAAGTCGGTAAAATTAACATTTTCATATAACTTTTTTAAAAAACTCAATAACAAAGATAAAAAATTATTAAATTTAAAACCGGCCCTAAACATGTGTACGAAACTAATAAGTCTGTCTATATTTATCTGTTTTTTACGACTATGACTTATATTCATATTGTAATGCCTGGCCACATTTTATTTAATGGGGCAGTAGTGTATTTATATATTCATCATGGGAAATAAAAAATTAAGTGCGTTTAAAAGAGGACATTTTAAATAATAATATTGTGGACTTTTTTACCCAAGTTCGCTGATGATTGCATATCAGGTGGGACCTACCAAATAAACTCTGCAACATACAGTGAGTGAAACTGCCTCAAACTGAACGTACAAAAAATATTTTACCAATAAAATTTTGTCTACATGGTTACATAAGTTTCGGTTGTTCAGGTGTCAACTATCGAGCCTTCGACGTCGCTGAGACGGTAGTTAGGCGGTGGATAACTTACAAAAATTCCGGAATAGTAGACCTAAATATCTAGAGAAAATGAGAAATTAAATCGTTTATGTCATACGCATACACCCGTAGAAAATAATACATCCATCAATAAATAATACGGCAAGTTGTTAACATTGGTACAAAGGCTAAGGACAATATGTGCCATATATTAAGTAAAATATTCTACAAATCCACAATATACCGTAAAAGAAAGTTATAAACCCAATATGTTTGTACTATGTGCAGACTCGCACTTATTTATAAACAATAACTATTAATGTTGAATCACAATATACTTTTAAGATCCCAAATTGGAGAAGGTTACGTAATTTCTGCCCTCGCACGGGTCTTCTGAGCTTGCTTAACTCAGTAGATAAGACCTATTTATTTATAATAAATGATATAAAAAACATTAAATTTTGACCGTAAAATAGAAATCATAAAGCAAAAATATAATGAACACATAATAGGACTCAAGGCACAATGGTATACTTTAGAGCTTCCAAATTTAAAGAGGTTATTTAATTATCTGCTCCATACAGTTCTTTTGAGATTGCTTAACTTGTTTTTAACTTTTTTAATAAAGAATCGAAAGAATGAAATGTTTACCGTAGCATTTAAGCCACGAAGTATTATGGTCAATACTCAGATCGAAACCCTTAATTAAATGCTTAATTAACTAAATTTTAAAATATTTTCCAGTACTATATAAGCTTTTAAAGAAAAACCCACTTAAAGATTTAGTGTGAAAAATTACAAATTAAAGTTAAATATACCTTAGAAACATTAAAAAAAAAACATTTACTTAAAAAATTAGCAGACATAATGTCTGTACCTGCATGAAATCCTCAATATAATCAGAGATAGAAATATAAAAACAGAAACGTTTCTTAAAGTAACGCAAAACTAGTAATTTCGTTACTTTTTAAAATAAATGAAAAGAAACGGTAACAACTTGAAATGGTTACTTCGTTACAGTAACGCGTTACTTCAAAAGTAACATGTTACTTTTAGGTAACGCGTTACTGCTATAGTAACACGTTCCTTACAAATGTAACGTGTTACTACAAAACTAACTAGGATTTAAAGTAAAAACATTTTTTTATTTTTTTACCCCATGGATTTTGCACGCCTCTGATACAAATGATAACAAATAATTGTGAACATTACAGCCCACACAAATGATTTTTAACATACCACTACAAATTTTATTTTTTGTTATATATATAATTTTGCTTCTGTGTGCGCGAATGTGTGTGTGTGTGTGTGTGTGTGTGTGTGTGTGTGTGTGTGTGTGTGTGTGTGTGTGTGTGTGTGTGTGTGTGTGTGTGTGTGTGTGTGTGTGTGTGTGTGTGTGTGTGTGTGTGTGTGTGTGTGTGTGTGTGTGTGTGTGTGTGTGTGTGTGTGTGTGTGTGTGTGTGTGTGTGTGTGTGTGTGTGTGTGTGTGTGTGTGTGTGTGTGTGTGTGTGTGTGTGTGTGTGTGTGTGTGTGTGTGTGTGTGTGTGTGTGTGTGTGTGTGTGTGTGTGTGTGTGTGTGTGTGTGTGTGTGTGTGTGTGTGTGTGTGTGTGTGTGTGTGTGTGTGTGTGTGTGTGTGTGTGTGTGTGTGTGTGTGTGTGTGTGTGTGTGTGTGTGTGTGTGTGTGTGTGTGTGTGTGTGTGTGTGTGTGTGTGTGTGTGTGTGTGTGTGTGTGTGTGTGTGTGTGTGTGTGTGTGTGTGTGTGTGTGTGTGTGTGTGTGTGTGTGTGTGTGTGTGTGTGTGTGTGTGTGTGTGTGTGTGTGTGTGTGTGTGTGTGTGTGTGTGTGTGTGTGTGTGTGTGTGTGTGTGTGTGTGTGTGTGTGTGTGTGTGTGTGTGTGTGTGTGTGTGTGTGTGTGTGTGTGTGTGTGTGTGTGTGTGTGTGTGTGTGTGTGTGTGTGTGTGTGTGTGTGTGTGTGTGTGTGTGTGTGTGTGTGTGTGTGTGTGTGTGTGTGTGTGTGTGTGTGTGTGTGTGTGTGTGTGTGTGTGTGTGTGTGTGTGTGTGTGTGTGTGTGTGTGTGTGTGTGTGTGTGTGTGTGTGTGTGTGTGTGTGTGTGTGTGTGTGTGTGTGTGTGTGTGTGTGTGTGTGTGTGTGTGTGTGTGTGTGTGTGTGTGTGTGTGTGTGTGTGTGTGTGTGTGTGTGTGTGTGTGTGTGTGTGTGTGTGTGTGTGTGTGTGTGTGTGTGTGTGTGTGTGTGTGTGTGTGTGTGTGTGTGTGTGTGTGTGTGTGTGTGTGTGTGTGTGTGTGTATGTGTATTACAGATTACAGAGTGTAACAAAAAGGTGTATAGTAAATTTAGCCACAAAATTGAAGCACGGAAAGTCTGAGACGCATTTTGTTTTATGACTTTAAATAAGAACTACTAAAACACTTGTTATTAAGCTATTGTATAGCTTTTATCGCGGGCTTTGAACGCGGCGACCGAATCAAGAAATTCCGTAACACTGTAACGAAAAGAAACCTAACACCCCCCACTCCGACCGGTCCAGCGGTGCGGCGTTAAAACCCGTGGAAGGTTTTATCCGACCCTATTCCTATTAGTATGAAGCAGAGTTAAATATACGTCTGCGGACTGGAACGTTTATGCAATACAAGAACTAGAAGAGCTTTCTCTGACTTCTAATAAATTGGTATCAGAAATGTTCCCGGCTGGCGTAAATATTAGATATTAATTTTTTGCAAGATTTATATAGTATATTACATTTCCAAACAAAAAAAAATTAAAAAACAAAAAAAAAATTTAGCCCTGCCAGGATTTGAATGCGGTCGCTCGCCAGGTCCCAAATGGCAAAGTTAATAAGTTTGACGCTCTAACCATCCAAGCTAATAGGCCATGCGTCAATTTAATGATCTAATCGGTTATGTGTTTAACCAGAATAAAGAGCAAACATATCCTAGTTATTTTAAAATTATTTCAATAATAATTGTTAAAGATAAATATCTAGGATCTAATTTACAACAATTTCAATAATTTAACAATCATATCGATTTTAGTATTAATATGGACATTACAAAGATCAAAATAGAAATGATGCAATTGACATTTTGTGACAGCTACTACGGAAAGTAGCATATCCGTACACGGGTGGAAAGTAAATTCTTTTTCATACGCGTGTGATATAGATATAGTGTGATATGTGTCACTTTCCTAAGTGGTCGTAGGAAAAAATATTAATATTTATTTTATCAGTGTTAACTATTTCATTATTAAGCTATTGCATAGATTTTATCGCGGGCTTTGAGCGCGGCGACCGAATCAAGAAATTCCGTAACGAAAATAAACCTAACACCCTCGAAAAATCGAAAAATTGAAAAACCAAAAAACAAAAAATGAAAAATTGAAGAACCGAAAAATCGAAAAATTGAAAGATCAAGAGATCGAAAAATCGAAATTTCGAAAAATCGAAAATTCTAAAAATCGAAAAATTTGTAAAATCGAAAAATCACCCCTTACTCCGACCGGCACAGCGGTGCGGCGTTGAAAGCCGTGCATCGTCTAAAGTCGTTTCAGTTCGGCAGACTTCGCCACGGTGTTTGTGTGCGTGCGACTAGATGCATGTAGACTAGCTGCTAACTGCTCATAACTAATTCTATCTTTTAGACACAATTTCGGAAAAATTGAATTTGAAAATGAATAATGATCCACAAGAATCCACAACAAAATATATTTAGAGGTTATCAAGTCTCAAACTTATGTTTCTTATTTCAGTTACCATAAATCTATAGTTTCAATGATAAAAATTCCTGAATAACCTATATGTATTGTAAGATAATAAAAATATTAATTTCTCATTTATTCAATAAAAGAAAAAAATTTGTTTTCTTATCGGTCACCACGCTCAAAAAGTGTAACTTGAATTAATATCAACGAAAAAACTTGAATTAATATCAAAGAAAAAAGATACTGCATAAATAAAATAAACAAATAATTATAATTGCATAAGTTGATAAAAAATGCTATGCAATAGCTTTACCGCGGCACTCCCCGAGTGCCACACGTATTTTTTTTAGTGCTAATTAAGTTATTAATAACTACTGGTGATGATTGATTCATTGATTAGGAATTGGAAAAAAAAATTTTTTTTTATTTTTTCACGCCAATGAATAGATAATACAAATACAAACAATTTTTTTCATTCCAATTTGAATGCTATATATGAATAAGGATTTTAGAGAGGGGTTGATAATTAAATATTTTTGGAGTTGAAAAAAAATTTGTTTTTTTTTTAATGTTATCACGCTAATCGATAGACAATGCAAATATAAGCAACTTTTTTTAATTCCATTTTAAATGCTATAAATGAAATAAGGATTTTAGAGAGGGGTTGAAATTTTAGTATTTTTGGAGCTGGAAAAAATTTCGTTTTTCCTTTAATTTAGTCCTGCCAATCGATAGATAATGCAAATACAAACAACTTTATTTTATTCCATTTTGAATGCTATATATGAAATAAGGATTTTAAAGAGGGACTGATATTTCAATATTTTTGAAGCTGGAAAAGTATTTTTTAAATTTTATTACGCCAATCGATAGATAATACAAATACAAACAACTTTTTTTAATTTTTACCAGCTCCAAACATATTGAAATATCAACTCCTCTATAAAATCCTTATTTCATTTATAGCATTCAAAATGGAATTAAAAAAAGTTGCTTATATTAGCATTGTCTATCGATTAGCGTGATAACATTTAAAAAAATATTAATTGAAGACTTCTAAAACACAGGTAATTTTAGATTTTTTCTACTTTAGAGAAATATTATGGTGCAGGTGGATATAAACATTCATTTCTTAGTAGTAAATCTAGTTATAAGTTCTTACCTCTGAAGTAAGTTGATCTGCATACCAGTAAGATATAAAAAGCCTACTTAAAATACCTGCTGCACCCGTAACTACAAAAACTAAACCATAAATTTTGGATTTTCCCTAAAACATAAACTAGTATCAACCCTTCGTTAGTGCTCTGGGGTATAGCATACCCCATCAAGTCTATTTACAACTATAAATCTAAAATTGCAACAGCTAGAGTCATCTAGCAGCTAGTCGCTTTAGTTCATGTATATATCGATTGAACGCACTCACAGTAGCGTTTCTGTGAACCTTTAGTACGAAATCAGATTTGCGCGAAGACGGTTAGGGTATGGTATACCCCAGAACATTATTTACGTTATTATTTGTGTACAGCAGTTTGAATGGTAAGTAATAAAGTTTTTATTTTATTCTTATAGTTTGCTTGCTATTATGTGGCATATTTTTAGCAAAATGTCCTACGAAAAAGAGTAACGACGGCTTCAGATGCTATGTGACGAGTTTGAAAGTATCGACGATGATGAACCTATTATAAGCAGTGATTCTGAAAGAGAAGAAGAAGAAGAAGAAGAAGAAGAACGGGAAATAAATAGAGTAGAAGTGGAAGTGGAAATATTGCAAGGAAAACCGGAAATAGACAGGGAAGAACAGTCAGAAGAGAAAATGGAAGTTTTGTCTAATTTAAAAAATGATAAAAATAAATCAAAATAATCAAAACTTCCCCACAATCGAAACGTAAAAACAAGATCTGAAAACATTATAACTGACTCACCCAGCGTGAAAGGCGTCACGCGGGAAAAAACACACATCTTGATTGTTGGCTACTATTTTTTACAGAAGAGGTACTAAATGACATTGGCTACCAAAGCACCTAATAAGAGACATCAGTACTTAGTAAAACCCACTAATAAAGCTGAAATGAAAGCAGTTATATTGGTCTGCTTCATTTGACAAGACTGTATAAGTCAAATCGCCAAAACACGGCGAATTTTTGAAACATCGATATAAGTGCATTCCTTCAATACATCCCCAAACAAGCCTGCTCCTATATGGGATAAAAGTGTTTGCTCTTCTTGAAAAGGTTTTACTGTCTTAACATGGAGGTTACGTCGGAAAACAACCAACTGGCTCCTTTCAAATGAGTAACACCCCACAAAATATTGTTGAACGTCTTATTAAGCCAGTGTCGGGCAAAAAACAAAAAATTACTTTCGACAATTATTGGGTTAACTAGCTACCCATTGATGACCAATCTGCTCAAAACTCATCAGCTTACATCGGTTGGGACAGATGGACAGATAACCAGCTAATTCAGTATTTGCCTTCAAAGAAAATTTTACAGCGTTGTTATTTGATTTAAAGAAATCTAAAAATGTCATTGTTTTCAACTCATCACGACAATAAGATTGTTCCAGAATTTTGTGATAAACAATTGCCAGAAAGGAAAAATTGTAAGCGAAAGTTTAAATAATGAGTCCCTGTACAAAAGGAACATTTAAAACATCATCTACTACATTAGAGATAATCTTAATTTAGCATGAGCTAAAAATACTTCCACAACAAATAATAAAAAAATATCTGCTTAAAATTAGTAAATATATATTTAGGTGTGAAGAGTAAAAATTATAACTTAAATTAAAAGGAAATACAATAATACTTTCAGTAATGATATAAATATGGAGTGTGTAAAATCAACGGCCATATCCCTCTATTGCATATTGTTCCCATACTTATACTTACTCATACTTAATATTTTACAGTGGGATTTCCGATGCGTCTAACGAATGCGTTGTGCATACGGTTCCCAATTGGAAACATTGAATAATTTATTGGTGCGGTCGCTGCGCAACAGATGTCGGTAGTAGATTCGAATATTAGTGTTGTGTCATTTGTGAGCATATGATATTGTATTCTTTTTTACTTTCCTATCTTTATACAGATATAAAGAAAGTATAGGAATCATGATTTTTTTCGACCTCGAGTTTTCGACGGATTTTTACGTTTTGAGGTCCCCTGAATCCGTTTTGACTATTTTCGCGATGATGTATGTGTGTGTGTATGTGTATGTGTATGTGTATGTGTATGTGTATGTGTATGTGTATGTGTATGTGTATGTGTATGTGTATGTGTATGTGTATGTGTATGTGTATGTGTATGTGTATGTGTATGTGTATGTGTATGTGTATGTGTATGTGTATGTGTATGTGTATGTGTATGTGTATGTGTATGTGTATGTGTATGTGTATGTGTATGTGTATGTGTATGTGTATGTGTATGTGTATGTGTATGTGTATGTGTATGTGTATGTGTATGTGTATGTGTATGTGTATGTGTATGTGTATGTGTATGTGTATGTGTATGTGTATGTGTATGTGTATGTGTATGTGTATGTGTATGTGTATGTGTATGTGTATGTGTATGTGTATGTGTATGTGTATGTGTATGTGTATGTGTGTGTGTGTCTGTGTGTCTGTGTGTCTGTGTGTGTGTGTGTGTGTGTGGGTGGGTGCGTGCGTGCGTGCGTGTGTGTGTGTGTGTGTGTGTGTGTGTGTGTGTGTGTGTGTGTGTGTGTGTGTGTGTGTGTGTCTGTATAACGCATAACTCATGAACCGATACACAGAAAAACACCAAATTTTAAACTTAAGCTTTATTCCAGCGTCCAATGAGCTGATTAGATTTTGGGCAGAGTCGGAACATCTGGGGGGGTACTTTATGGGTGATCATTTTTATATTTTATGGAATATATCTGTTATTTACGTTTGGAGAAGAAATTCTTTAAATAAAAGTTACTTCTTATATAATTATCTATAATTTTTGTTCTATACAAAATTTTCCTAAAATGGTCCGTATTCGAGAAATTTGACAAAATGTAAAAAGAAATATTTTTTATAAAAATTGTTCAAATAAAAGTTGTTTGTAATATAATTCTCTATAATTTTTATTCTATACATAATTTCTCTAAAATGGACCGTATTCGAGATATTTGAGAAAATGTGTAAATTTCAAATTTTGAAGAAAACTCAAAAACGGATAAAGAAAAAAACATTAAATTTTAAACATAAGTTTTATTTCGGCCTGACGTGAAATGATTAGATTTTGGACATAGTCGGAACATCTGGGGGGGTACTTTATAGGAGGCCACTTTTATATTTTATGGAATATATCTGTTATTAATGTTTGGAGAAAAAAATTGTTCAAATAAAAGTTACTTCTAATATTATTATCTATAATTTTTGTTTTATATAAAAATTTCCTGAAATGGTCCGTATTCGAGAAATTTGACAAAATGTGCAAAATTCTGATTTTTATGAAAGTTTTTATAAAATAAAAGTTGTTTGCGATATCGATCTCTATAATTTTTGTTTATACATGATTTTTCTAAAATGGACCGTAATGAAAAAATTGTAGGAAATTTAAATTTTTCAGTATTTTCGTTTTCCATGAATATCTATAGAAAAATGTTTCGAGGTAGATGTATGTGGACAATGTATATATTTAGTTTATCCTCTAAACATTTATAGAGATGCTGCAATAGGTTGTACAAAACAACCGGAAAAAGCCTATAGTAAAAAGATAATGACAAAACAAAAACTAGATAGGAAAGTCATGTGTTGGACACATCAGATTTTTTACTCGTGTTTTGTCGTTGTATATTAGCTAAAATATCGGTAAGTTTTTTGTGAAAAATTATTTTTAGGGTCCTAGGACATAATATTAGATATCCTAATCATGAAATCGTTTTTATAAAATAATTTTTGTCAAATGCCTTGACAATTATTTATGTTCCTGTTTGGAAACATCGTGCAAATAAACTACAAAACTTATTTCGATTCGAATAGATATTTTTTATAGAATCTTTTTATTTGTAGAGAAATGGATTGTGTAAAATTTTATGGAAGGAAGGTGGGGGTGAAAAGTGTTATTGTCCGAGATATACCTTCTCAAAGTGATGATTCTGAGCTTTCGGAAGATGAAATCACTGAACCATGTTTTTCTTCAAACCAACAAATATCTACTATAACAGCACCGGAGGACATTTCTGATTTGAACGATGATAATGATGAGGATGATGAAGAAACTCTTCAGTCCCAGGCCACCACATCTGGTACATCTGATAAAGGAAAGATAAAGTGGAAGAGGACTGTGACTACAAAAACTGAGGAAGAAATATCATTCCAAGGTAGTGAGCTATTACCTGAACATATCTTGCAATTGAATAATCCATATAAATTATTCAGCTACTTTTTTTCTGAAGACTTTATTCGAGAAGTTGTACGGCAGACATGTATCTATAGTGTTGCAGTAAATCCTAATCGCCCAATATGTATCAGTATTGAAGAAATGAAACAGTTTATGGGTATATTACTGTGGACATCTCTTATCAGACAACCTACAACCAGAAGGTACTGGTCACCACAAACTCGAATTTCTCAGATTGCTGATATAATGCCTGTCAATCGTTTTGAGACAATCAAACGGTTCCTACACTTTAGTGACAACAGCAGAGAGAATGCAAAAAGTATTGATAAAATTTTGCCAGTCATCAATCAAGTCAGGGATGCATGCCTCAATATTCCCTTTGAAGAAAATTTGTCTTGTGATGAACAAATTATCTCTTTCAAAGGAAGATCAAGGCTAAAGACTTATAATCCTAAAAAAACACACAAATGGGGCTATAAAATGTGGGTACTATCTGGAGTATCTGGGTTTTCATATAATTTTGAGTTATTTGCTGGGAAAGATGGTTATACTACTGTAAGCAACGAGCCAGATTTTGGAGCCGCAAGTAACGTTGTTGTTCGGCTTAGCAGACCAATACCTTCTAACATGCACCACAAACTATATTACGACAATTACTCTTCTGGAATACCGTTGGTTTCTTATTTAGCAAAGAAAAAAATTCATTATGTGGCAACGGAGCGTACAAATCGTTTACGCGGTTACCAAACAATTAGTGAAAAAGATATGAAAAAACGTGGAAGAGGGACTCTTATAGAACAAACAGCAAAATTTGATACCATCAACATACACGCCGTGCAAATGTTTGACAATAAAATCGTCTCCCTAATGTCTGATTATTGTGGTACCGCTCCACTTTTGAAAGTGAAAAGGTTTTT